TGCCAGGTGTCTGTGTCACAGCAGCTTGGGGGTCACCCCAAACCCCAAACCCACCTGTGCCAGGTGTCTGTGCCACAGCAGCTTGGGGATCCCCCAAATCCAAACCCACCTGTGCCAGGTGTCTGTGCCACAGCAGGTTTGGGGATCCCCCAAACCCCAGACCCACCTGTACCAGGTGTCTGTGCCACAGCAGGCTGGGATCACCCCAGACCTGCTCACCAGTTCCCCACAGCAGTGCCTCGTACAAACCTCGCTGGGGGAAGAAGTTGAAAGCAGCAATTTGGAGTTAAGGGTTTTAAGTAATTCCAACAATGGCAGCTTAGGATCTACGTGTCCAGGAAGTTTGATCACGCCAGAGACATCTGTGTTTTTCACTCGACTAGGTTTTATTTTCAATCATTTTTCTCATTAAAAAATGTGTGTATCTCATAATGTCTTCATATCTGAGCCAGCATTTAATTCTCTGATTACATATGGTCGGTGCAGCATGTGCCATGACACCCACCAAAATACCGAAATGACAGCTCCCTTTGCAAAGTACAAGACTGGAAATAACTTTCTGCTAAGAGATGCTATTAACTTTTTTCTTTTCCTAATAAAAATGAGTATGTAAGTGGCCGTGATTCAGATCTCCAATGTTTTCTGACTAGTCTGTGACTTGTCAGATAAGGGCTGCACTGCAGCTCTGATATTTATGGTACATTGTACCCACGTAAGAGTTCCTTTAAAAGGCTGCAAGAACTATCTGCTTCTGGTTTAATGTATTATTTATCAGTCTCTTATTCTTTCCTTCATGCCACAGATTTATTTTGTTTTTCCAGTCTCTCCCCTGACGTTACAGAACCCTAGGCCTGCTGTAATTGGTATTTGGGGATCTTTGCAGGCTGGGCTGTGCTCCCTGAGCTGTAGGTGGCTCTGGCAGCTCTTCCTTGGGAAGCTGTGCCTTTCTTACAGCTTTTTCACAGCTGCTTCTCAAACTTCATTGCTGCTGCTCCCCTTGGGGCAAGTTCTTGTTTCCCTTCAGCATTTCCTCTGCCTTAGCAGAGCTGGCCTCTCCCTCAGCCCGGGAATGTCCCATGGTTTGTGGAAGGACTCAAACTGCTGTGAGGAGGGGAAAGGCAGCAGCTGCCTTCTTCCCTGGCTGGACAGCAGAGCAGGAAACAACACTCCTGCCCAGCAGCATCAGCTGTGAGAGCCAGAGCAGCTCCCAGCAGCCCAGGGCAATAAATGCAATAAACACAATAAATCCCCGTCTGCCACACAGTGCAGCAGCACCTGGTGATGCTGCAGTAGTCCCAGACATCGAGGAGGGGCTTTGTGGGTGGACAGTTCCCCTCCACTTAGGATGGAGGAGGAATATTTAACAGAAGTTTAGAAAGATTTTTTTTATTTCAGTCTATTTCTTCATTCTCCTTGTTAATGATGTCTCCTGGCATGCACTTGCAGGAGAAGCCAGTCTGTCAGCTGCCACAGCTGCCTTGTGCCTGATTCAGTCATGGAAGGGATCTGCCCATCCCAAAAGACGGCTCCTCTAGGGCAGAGCTGCTGCAGAGGAGCCCCAGCTCTGCTGCTCGGTGCTGGGGTCCCAGCAGTGCCTGGAGGACAGGGACCCCTGTCCATAGCTCTGCTCCTGCCCTGCAGGGTCTGTGTGTCCTGCAGAGCTGCACTGAGCTGTGCTGCTGCCCTCAGCTCCCTGCAGAGCTCTGAGCATTGAGAGCTGCTCCTGGAGATCACAAAGAACCTGCTCCACATCCACCCCAACATCTAGCAGTTACTGTTTAATATTATTTTTCCCTTATTGCTTTTTTTCTCCTCTTTCCACATGAACTCTGATGAAATCCCTTTGAGCATCTGTGTCCTCCCATCACCATTTTATCTGGTCCCCTCTTGCTTCAGAGCAATTCTTTGCAGCCCAGGCAGGGCTGGAACTGTTTTCCAATGGGCAGCCTCAGTCATGAACCACATGGAAAGGACATGTGACAGCCAGCCCAAAAGTCACTGCAAGCCTCATCCAGCGCTGCTCATTCCAGTGCTCTTTGGTGGGGGATCTCAGCACGAAGGCGAGCCCAGGAAATGGGGGGTGTTTGTTCAAAGGAAAGTCAAGCCCAAATGTGCTCTTCAGCAGGGTTCGCCTGTCAGGTGTCACGTTGTGATGTGTTTTGTAGCCTGGCCCTGCTCTTTGAAGCTACAGGAGTTTCTCCCTGATGTGGATGATGTGCCTGGGAACGAGGTCTCACACCTGTCACTTTGTGTTTGTTGCAGCCTGCAGTGACACACCCTTTTAACTTCTCCTGGCAGGTGTTTTTTCAAATTAAAGAAAAGGCAGACTTCTTAGCAGAGCTTGGTTATTCATCAATATTATTAGATTCTCCCTTCCCTCTCCTGATGCTAGGAATAGAAACCTCTGAAATTACTGTGGGGGATGAGCTCTTAAAACAAAGCACTGAGTAAGAAGGATGGGGAAAACCTGTACAGCTGAAATGCAGGAAGAGATTTGGGGTGCCAGTGGAGGGGGAATATTGCATTGAATGCTCCAGCCCAGTTTGGAGCCTGGGTCTGTCCAGCCTGGGTCACAGCCTGGGTCTGTCCAGCCCAGTTTAGAGCATGGGTCTGTCCAGCCTAGTTTAGACCTGGGTCTGTCCAGCCCAGTTCAGAGCCTGGGTCAGAGCCTGGGTCTGTCCCTGGATGTCCTGTTAGCCCTGCCCACCAGAGCCCAGCCAGGGCACTGCCTTGTCTCGTTCAGCAAGGAGAGAAGCAGAACCGGCTGTTCCTGGCTCCAAGGCAGCAGAGTTGCATACAGGGCAGCACAGGAGGGGCCCAAGGTCCTGCAGTCCCCCCTGTGGCAGGTACAAGCTGACAGATGTCAGGCATGAAGGAGGGGTGGAAAACCTGAGCAGTGCCACCTGCCCTCAGCTGGGACTGCTTTGATTTCCCCCAGCTCTGCACTGTGGAAACACAGCTGCTGTGATGGCTCTGCTGCAAAACACAGAGCTGCAGATGTGCCACTGCCTGGAGGAGTCCTGGGCTTCCCAGGAAGTTTTTGTTCTGCTTTTCCCACCTTCCTGCCACGGGTTAATGGGGCCACCGAGTGCTGGATGAGAAAATGCCCAGCTTTTCTCTTTGTGGTTTCACAGGCACAAGGTTCACCTGTGGTTCAGTGTTTAACTAAAATTAGGGCTGACAGTTTTTCCTTATAAATTAAATTAATGAGATGTTTGAACTACTGCTGAATTACTTGTGCAGATCTTTGCTGTTTGGCATTGTCTCTGGGCTCCCTCCCCACAGCCACCCTCCTCAGCTGCCCTCACCCCCTTGCCACGCT